CAGTGATGTGGAAGCATAAGCCAAACAAACTCTTTCCTCCCCAAGTTGCTTTTGATGGTGATGTTTCATCACAGCAATAGTCACCCTAACTAAGATAAGCCTCAAGCTTTTGTTTTTATTTTGGTGCTGCAGGCCAAATCCAGGCATTCCAGGCAAGCACTGGTCCACTAAGCCACAGCCAGCTCCAGGCCTTGCTTTGTCTTGAATTCTCTTTGAACTGCTCCTTAGCATCTTCCCTTGTTAAAAAAAAAAGGAATAAAATTTTTGTCACCTACATTTTATACTTGGGTGAATCATGCTTTTATCTTTTTAAAAAATGCCTAATTTTTTGGCTAGGCATGGTGGCACATGCCTTTAATCTCAGCACTCTGGAGGCAGGCAGATCTCTGAGTTCAAGGCCAGCCTGGTCTACAGAGTGAGATCCAGGACAGCCAGGGCTGTTACACAGAGAAACCCTGTCTCAAACAAAACAAATACATAATTTTAAAATTACATTTGTGTGTGTATGTGTGTGTGTGTGTGTGTGTGTGTGTGTGTGTGTGTGTGTGTGTGTGTTTGCCCGCGCACACACAACTGCATACCACAGGGTACATGTGGAGGTCAGAGGACAGCTTGCAGGTGTTGGGACTCTCCTACCATGTGGTACAGAGGATTGAAAGAAGGTCATCAGGCTTGGTGACAAGTGTCTTTACCATCTCTCCAGCCCTCAATGTTTTTTTTCAGAGCTGAGGACCGAACCCAGGGCCTTGTGTTTGCTAGGCAAGCGCTCTACCACTGAGCTAAATCCCCAACCCCCCTCAAATTTTTTATAATGTAACACTTCCCAGATAAAATGGCAGGACCACATAAAAAGCTTCACCTGTGTCCTCTTCTTCTTCCTCCTCCTCCTTCTCCTCCCCCTCTTTCTCCTCCCCCTCCTCTTTCAGTTTTTCGAGACAGAGTTTCTCTGTGTAATCTTCCTGACTGTCCTGAAACTCCTCTGTAGACCAGGCTGGCCTTGAACTCACAGAGATCCGCCTGGCTCTGCCTCCCAAGTGCTGGGATTAAAGGAGTGTGCCGCCGCCACCGCCCTGCTCCTCCGTTCTTTTTAACTGGATCATATACCTAAGGCAGAAAACAGAACTAGCACCTTGTGACCACAAGGATCGTGTCTAAGAATAGAGGTTCTTATATTCATGATGTTATGCTAATCATTATGGTAATGATGGCCTATGGGCTCTCGCCTTTCTTCTTTCTGGGCTTCTTATTTTGAAAGACAAACACTCAGAGGCTGGAAAGACATCTCAGTTGGTAAAGTACTTGCCGGACAAGCCTGAGGGCCTGGGTTTGTTTCCCAGAACTAAGCTGGGCCCAGGTACACTTGGAATACCAGGGATGCAGAGGTGGAAACAGGCGGGTTCCCTGCGCTCACAGCCCTGTAGCCTAGACAACTTGATGAATTTCAGGACAAGGACAAACCCTGTTTTTAAAATTTAAAAAAAAAAAAAAAAAAAAAGGTGGGTGGCAGCCGAGGGATGACACCTAAGGTTGTCCTCTACACACATAAAGAAAAACACTAGCCCCATGTGTTCAAACCATCACAGCAGGGTTTTTCTCTTGCACTATAGAATGCATACCAGGCTGACACCACCAGGAAACCAGGTATTTCCTTTACCACAAAAGGGAAATCTGAACTGGGCGGTGGTGGCGCACGCCTTGAATCCCAGCACTCAGGAGGCAGAGGCAGGCGGATCTCTGAGTTTGAGGCCAGCCTGGTCTCCAGAGGGATTTAAGGACAGCCAGGGCTCCACAGAGAAACCCTGTCCCAGAAATGGGGTGGGGGGAGAAATCTGTGGTCATACTGAGCATGTCCAAAGTCAGGAGCTAAAAGCCAGGCTGGAGAACAAGGGGGAAGTGGTGTGGCAAGGGGAGCCATTAAAGCCGAAGCCTGCAGGAAGGGGCCATGTTGACATCCCTTTCTGAGAAGTCTCCTATTGATGAGAATCAGAACGTTCGCGCTGGGCTTTGTGACTGACATGTGATGCTGCCTCACGGGGTCCAGGTTCTCCAGAAATCACAGGCTTTCGCCTTCCCTTCTGGGGACGCTGTCGGCATGAGTCACACATTTCCCATTGCCTGGATCTTTCTTAAGGTTTTCAAAATGAGCAACTATGGTGAAGTGGATATGTCGTTTGAAAAATGTGCTTGTTACATTTCTTTTTTTGTTTGTGTGGGGGGGAGTGGGGGTGGGCATGCAAGTCAGGGTACGCGTGGGGAGGGCAGAGGAGAATTTTGCAGAAGTCAGTTCTCTCTCCTTCCACCGTGTGGGTTCCACCAGGGACCAAACTCAGAGTCATCAGGGTGGGTGGCAGGCACGTCCACCTGTGGAGCCTTTTTGTGGGCCTGAATTTTGGTTGGTTGCCTTTTGACCATCCACCCCCTCTCAAGAGGTCCTTTTATTTGAACAGTTTTTGTTGTTATTGTTTTGAGACAGGGTCTCACTTTGTAGCTCTGGCTGGCCTAGAATTCACCATGTAGACCAGGCTATCCTCAACCCCTGGAGTCCCATCTTTGAAAACGTCAGACAAATGAAAAGAGGGAGGAGAGACAGGTCGCCAAAAACCATTAGGATGTAAATACCAGAAGAAGGGTGCAGGATGCTGAGGTGACTAGCACAGCATACAGATGGCCATCTCCCGGGCTCCTGATCCCAGAACCCTGAGCGGAGCGAGCAGGATGAGGCACTGGAGAGGGAGGAAAGGAGTGGGTCCCTCAGCGGTTAATGAAAACCAACCTGTCTGGCTCCTCCAAAACCTAGATGTCTAATCAGGTCATCTGCCATTCTAGCAAAACAGGACCGACCCGGGACTCAACCGGTTCTCCCACAAGAGGCCCATGCATATTCAATGCAGAAGATCAATTTAGAAAGATAATACCGTGTTATCAGGAGAAGGCGGGCCAGGAAACCATTTTCCCTTCGTCAGGGCAGGAGATCTCTGGGTCTGAGGCACACGAAGTCGGTTAATGCGAGGGGAATCTTTATTGAAATTCCTTCTACAACGCATAAAAGCCTCCCATTATGATCTTATAAAAATGTCACACGCTACATGTTAAAAGGGGGGGGGGGGCGGTTGAAGGCTGGAGGGCCAGTGAGATGATGATGGTTCAGGAGGTAAAGCCTGCCTACAAGTCTAATGATATGGGTTGGATTCCCCAGATCTATAGTGCAAGAACCAAAGAAACCTCTGATCTCCATAGAAATGCTGTGGTGTGCACACACACACACACACACACACACACACACACACACACACAGCAATAATAAAACAATTTGAGCGAAGGCTGCTGGGACAGCTGAGGGGCACAACACCTGTCATCTCCCCAGGTTTGATCCACGACACAGCAAGAAAGAAAGACATAATTAGGAATAAGGTGTTGAATTACTATAATTCCAGCATCTGAGAGTTTGAGGCCAGCCTGGGCTACACAGTCAAATCATTTCTTTAAAAAAAAAAAAAAAAAAAAAAAAAAAGGAGTGGGACTGGACAGAGCACTGGCTGCTCTAGTGGAGGACCTGAAAGAGGTGACCTGGCTTGCTTAAAGACTCACAGCCAGCCGGGTGTGTTAGTACATCCCTGTACTCTCAGTCCATAACAGGCTGAGCCAGAACTTCAAGCTCAAAAGTTCAAGGCCATCCTGGGCTACATAGCAAGACCATGTCTCAAGGAAAAAAAAAAAAAAAAAAACAGAATTCAAAATACAAAACAAAACAACAGAAAGTTCTCCCAACCTGTGAGAGAATTAACTTTAAACCCGTGTGTACAGAATTCAGAGTGTCTTCCCCGTCCCCTGCTCCACCCCCACCTTATGATTAGCAGGTCCTCTACCACTGAGCTCCAAACCCCAGATCCAGAATTCATATTCTAGTATCTCGGATTTTCAATGGCGTATGTATGTGAAACATATACAATTTTTACAAGTCAGATTTATTCGTCATGTGTGTCTGTGCACCATATGCATGCCTAGTAAGTACCCTTGGAGGTCAGGATATCAGATCCTCTGGGGCTGTGAGTTATCTATCATGTGGGTGCTGGGGATTGAACCCAGGTCCTCTGCAAAAGCAACAAGTGCTCTTAACCTCTGGGCCACCTCTCCAGTCCCATATACATTATTTTTGAGGCAAGATCTCATGTTTCAAAGACTGGCTTCAAACTCACTATGTAGATTAGGATGACCTTGAACTAACTCGCTGATCTTTCTGCCTCTACCTCCCAAGTGCTAGAATTACAAACATAGACAGCCACATGTGGCTTATGTGGTATTAGAGATCGAACCCAGGGCTTTGTATGTGCTGGACAAGTATTCTATCAACTGTAATACAGCCTCAGACACTAAATCCATAATTTAACATTGAGTTGAAATATCCAGTGAGTGTTGAGCCATGTATGATGGCTCATGACTGGGAGGCAAAGGCTGAGTTTTACCACAAGTTAGAGCACAGCCTGGTCGACACAGCAGGTTCCAGGCCAGCCATCACAACATAGCAAGACGCTGTCTCAAAACAAACATGCGATTTTTTTTTAAAGTGAGCATTTGGGTGACCTGGTAGTGTCAGCCTGTAATTCTAGCTACCTGGGGGTTGAAGGAGCAGGACTGCAAATTCAGTGTTTGCTTGGGCTACAGAGAGTGGGCTCAAACAGCCTGGACAACTTAATGAGACCCTGTGTTGTGGTTTGAATAAGAATGTTCCCGTAGGCTCATCAGTGAATGGCACTACTTGAGAAGGATTGGGAGGTGTGGCCTTGTTGGAGGAAGTGTGTCCCTGGCAGTGGCCTTTGAGGTTTCTTTTTTTTTTTTCTTTAAATGTAACCAAAGTATCGTTATTACCCATAACTAGTAATAATTCCTTAATATTCTCAACTTGTCAATCAATAACCATACTTCTATTAATGTCTTTGACTTTTTTTAAAAGGATAATTTATTTAATTTTATTTTATGTACATTGGTGTGAGGGTGTATGATCCCCTGGAACAAGAGTTACAGGTCATTGTGAGCTACCATGTGGGTGCTAGGAATTGAACCCAGGTTCTCTGGAAGAGCAGCCAGTGCTCTTAACCCCTGAGCCATCTCTCCAGCCCAGTGTCTTTGACTTTTAACTTGGGACTTGGAATCAGATTTCAATCAATCTGTTTCTTAAATCTCCTTAAGTCTAGAGTTTCTCTCTTCTTTTAAACTTTTTTTTACGGTTCATATGTACAAAGAATCCATCAATTGTAGAGTGGTTTTTTTTGTTTGTTTGTTTTTGTAGTTTTCAGCGTTTATTTTGAAATGGCGGGGAACTTCCTTCAGAACCTGTGACAGATCAGGGTGACACATAGTCACACTGTGAAGCAATTCGGCTTTTCACCTTAGGAGAACTTTCTCCCAGCTTTAAGCTCGGGGCCAATGCCACCTGCAGAAGAAACAAGCAAATTAAAAAAATAATATATATATGATGAAACACTTAGGCCTTAATTTCAGCCAGTAATTCTTCTTCCCTCCCAAAGAGATATTTTGAAATACTTGGGTATAAAGGAAACCCAGTACTCAAACACTGACATTGAAAAGACACTACACTCTAATAGTCTCTTAAAATGTACATCCACACCCTGATTGACTGATTGATTATTTTTTTATTTTTTAAAAAATTATTTATTTATTTATTTTTACTTTTAATATTTTGCCTGGACATATGTCTATACATAATGTGCATGTGTGGTCCTGGGTGGAGGCCAAAAGCATTGGGCCCCCCTAGAACTGGAGTCATGGACAGTTGTGAGCTGCCATGTGGGTGCTGGGAATTGAACCTGGGTTCTCTGGAAGAACAGCCAGTGCTCTTAACCATTGAGTCATCTCTCCAGCCCCCTGTACTGATTTCTAGAAACCTGATTTCTAGTGAATATGACTTTATCTGGAAGAGTCTTGGTAGTTATACTTAAAGACTACCCACCACATGGGAGGCTGAGCCAGCCTTGGCTACATAGGGATTCTCTCTCTCTCTCTCTCTCTCTCTCTCTCTCTCTCTCTCTCTCTCTCTCTCTCTCTTAGAAACATTCGGCTGGAGAGATGACTCAGTGGTTAAGAGTATAAACTGCTCTTCCAGAATCCAAGCTGAATTTGATTCAGCTTGTATCCAAGGCAGACGCCTGGCTCTCAGCCTTCTGGCCTCCAGAGCTGGGAAAGCCTAGCTTCAGTTGCCAAGATGTGATAAGCAGTTACATCAGAACAGGGAACTCAGACAGCACACACTCCACCCACAGCTGGGGAAGGAGTTTTAGGGAAGCAGGGTCCCTGAATTCACACATCCCCTCCCACCACCCATTACTAGGTAGCCCTACTGGGAATCACACTTCCTGCCCTGGTCACTGATAAAATGGAACACCAACTTATGCAAGGGCCAGTGTGGGCAGCGCCAAAGGATGTGAGGGCCCCCGAGATGACCCTAGACCAGCCTGGCAGGTTTCAAGACCTTTCCATGCTTTCTTCCTGCTCAGTACAGTGTCCTCTCAGCCAGGGCAACAAGTGGACTGGCCAGGTCTGCCATCATTCGCTTCCTCAGTCACTGAAGATATATTGGCTGTGTGTTTTCTACATTCCACAAGTTGGGCTCTGGTAAGCCACATAAGAAAAGCATCATTACATCCCTGCGTGGTGCGCACACGCGTGTGGGCGTGTGAGTGTGCGTGGGGGCGGTAGAATCGTTCGTGGAAGAGGCACAGCCTAAAGGCGATTCCTGGAAGACTCTGGAGTTGAGGGATGTGATACCTCCTAAGCGCCCTGTACAGGAAGGCTTCTTAAACTTTTCTCAGCCAGACATGGTGGCACATGCTTTTAATACCAGCCCTTAAGAGGCTGAGGTGGTGGGCAGTCTCTGTGAGTTCAAGTCCAGCCAGAGCTACATAATGAGACCCTGCCTCAAAAAACAAACATTCAAAAACTAGTTCCTTCTTTTCTTCTGCTGGAGATTCTAACAGTTCTCTCCATCCTCCTAAGCTCTTCATGTAATCCAGGGCTCAGGAGCCCAAGGTACCAACTTCAATTTCCTAACTCCCATTAAGTTCATACCTAATAAAATAAAAAATGTATGTTTTGTTCTATGACTCCTTGGCTCGTTTTTCCTATTATCTCTGATGTATCTACCACACTTAGGAAATATTATCTTAGACTACTGTAGTGGTGGTTTGAAGGAGAATGGCTAATATGTTAAAATGCTTGGTTCCTAGTTGGCTGAACTGTTTGGGAAGGATTAGGAGGTGTGGCCTTGTTGGAGGAGGTGTGTCACTGGGAGGTGAGGCTTTGAGGTTTCAAACTCATGCTAGGCCCATGACTCTCTCTCTGCTTGTAACTTGCAGATCAGATGTGAGCTCTCATCTGCTTCTCCCGCACCCTGCTCACCTGCCCGCTGCTACCTTCTCTGCCTTGAGGATCACAGACTCATTCTCTGAAACTGTAGGCAAACCCCCAACTAAATGATTTCTTCCATAAGCTGCCTCAGTCATGGCGTCTCTTCACAGTAATAGAATCATAACTAAGACAACTAACTACTCACCCCACTGAAAAGCCTAAGCTGGACTTGAATTTTTAGTAATCCTTCTGCCTCAGCCTGCCAAGTGCTGGAACTAGAGGCATGAGCTACCATGCACAGCTCTTGTTGCTTTTTATTATTGTTAGGTATGCTCATGGACTATTTCCCCACTACATTCTCCTCCAGACATTGTGTGTCTATTGAGATGTCCCAAAGCACCAAGAAAAATACCTCAGGGATGCATTCACTAAGTATTTTGGTGTTTTTTGTTTTTTTTTTTCAGACAGGGTCTGGCTGTGTAGTCCTAGCTGTCCTAGAACTAACTATATAGATCTGGCTGGCCTTGAACTCACAGAGATTCTCTTGCCTAAGCTTCCTGAACCCTGGGGTTAAAGGGCCATACCACCAAGCCCAACTCATTCACTAAATGTGAGAGTCTGTGGGAGTCCATCTCCGACCTGCTCCTACCTTTCGAAGGGTTTTTGGGTGGAGGAGAGAGGAATGAGGAAATATTAGGTAGAAAGATACACCTCGACAACGAAGAGAAAGACAGAGACCCAAGATAGCTTTGGGAGGGCCTGGGTCGATAACCAGTCGCCCAGAGGTTTAGTCAAAAGGGCTTTTTATAATATGCCGAGGGGAGAAGCAAAAAACCTCTCCCTTGCAAGATCAAAGCACACTGTACAGCCAAGTGTAGACCCTTGAAAACACCTGGTAACCAGGCCTGTGGTCAAATCCTCCCCTTATGCAGCCCTGCTGAGTAAAGCAAGCTCAGATTCTCTGACCCTGAGTAAGGTCTCACTACATAGCCTTCGTGGGTCTCCACAACTAAGCAGTTCTGAAGCTTCTATTTTGTCCCAGCACTGGAATTCTTACCTAACATTAAAAGAAGCTGGGGGGTTGAAAGATGATGCAGAGGTTCAGCTGCAGGGGATCAGATGCCCTCTGCTGGCCTCCATGGGCACTTGCACTCATGTGCACATATCCAGACACACACACACACACACACACACACACACACACACACACACAATTCAAAATAGTGGAAATGAAAAAAGTTTGACACAGTTTCATTATGTAGCCCAGGCTGATCTGGAACTCCCAGAGATCATATGCATCTGCCTCCTGAAGACTAAAATTGAAGGAGTGTGCCACAATGTCCTGTTCTAAATATTCATTTTAAAATTTCTTTTTAATTGTGTGTGTCTGTGCCTGTGTGTGTCTGTGTGTGGGTGTGTGCATGTAACTGCAGGGGAAGGTCAGAGGTGTTGGAACCCCCAAAGCCGGAGTCGGAGGAGGTCATGAAGCCACCAAGTGGTGTGCTGGGAACTGAACCTGGATCCTCTGCACTAACTTCAGTACTTGTTTCTGATCTCTGTCGGCTCCTTCACAAATGTGATGTACTCAGGCACACACTCATACACATACAATAAATAAAACTTAACAAATCCTTCAAAAAAATTACTAGCCAGGCGGTGGTGGCACATGCCATTAATCCCAGCACTCAGGAGGCAGAGGAGGCAGATCTTTGTGAGTTCGAGGCCAGCCTGGTCTACACAGAGAGATCCAGGAAAGGTGCAAAGCTACACAGAGAAACCCTGTCTCAAAAAAACCAAAAAAAAAAAAAAATTACTTATAAGGTCCTTATTTTATGCCTCATCTGCCAAGCACATAGAATTTATCTTTAAAGAGCTTCCGGAGGAGCGCGGAAACTAGATTTAAGTCTTTGGTGGCTTCATTTATCTATTAGAAATGATGGGACTAACCAGGGGTGGGATGCTAGAAAAGTAGCAGAAGATTGACACTGAAAAAGAGAGGCAGGCAGAACTGCCCAGGAAGAAGAACCTTCTGATTAACCCAAGAAATGTGAACTGTAGCCTAGAGCAGAGAGGACAAAAGCCCACAGAGACCAGGGACATAAAGGACGGAGACCAACCAGATGTCAGGTGGGGACTGTGGCAAACCCCAGAACTCAGGTCCCGGGTCGGGTGGGCTGATGGCTGCTCTCGGCTCCTGTGGGCTGTTGCTGTGTGGGAATACTGATCCAGTGAGGCGGATCTTCCAATTTTCTGAGAAGGTAGACACGGTGCAGCGGCTCATGCTTGCAACCCTGGAGCTGAGGAGTCTGGGGCAGGAAGAAGATTGCCATGAGTTTGAGGTACAGTGGAGTCCAGGTCAGCTTTAACTATCAAAAAAGATGGTGTCCGCCGGGCGGTGGCGGCGCACGCCTTTAATCCCAGCACTCGGGAGGCAGAGGCAGGTG